AATTCCTACTTACGTCTTACAACATGTGAGGAATAAAAATCAAGCCCAAATCAATTTAAAGAAATTCAGGGACGAAGGAATATGTTCAATGAAACCATGGGGAATGTAATTAGCAGAATCTAGATTCTAGGACAAATCACTCAGTTTACTCATCACAAAAATTACCAGTAAAAAAAAAAAAGATGGAGGGGGCACTTCTAGAGTAAAAGAAACATAAGATTAAAAGAGACATATCCTATATTATTTTATAAATCTCTCATTAGTACTTATTATTGATATATATTAATATGTGTATCTATACATGTTTTAAAGAGTCCTTAGTCTTTAAACTTACACATGGAAATATTTTCAGATGAATGCTATATCTACGACTGGCTTCAAGATACTTGGGGTGGGCATACATAGATAAACCAAGACTGGCCATACAGATAGTAAATGAAGCTGGGTAAAAGGTATATTAAGTTCATTTTATATTTTTTCTACTTTTGTATGTTTGAAAATTTCCATAATAAAAAGTTCTTAAAAGCTTAAGTGATTGAACCTTAGGTATGAAACTATTAGAATTTTAGAGGAAAATGTTGGAAAATACTCTTCTAGACATTGGCCTGGGCAAAGAATTTATGAAGACCCCAAAGGCAATCACAACAGCAACAAAAATAAACAAATGGGACCTGATCAAATGAAAAAGCTTCTGCACAGCCAAAGAAACTGTCAAGAGAGCAGACAACCCACAGAATGGGAGAAAATTTTCGCAATCTACACATCTGATAAAGGGCTGATAACTAGAATCTATTTAGAACTCAGGAAAATCAGCAAGAAAAAAATCAAACCCTATCAAAAAATGGGCAAAGGACATGAACAGAAACTTCTCAAAAGAAGACAGAACAATGGCCAACAAACATATGAAAAAATGTTCAACATCTCTAATCATCAGGGAAATGCAAATCAAAACCACAAGGAAATATCACTTAATTCCAGTGAGAATGGCCTTTATCAAAAAGTCCACAAACAACAAATGCTGGCGTGGATGCGGAGAGAGGAATACTCCTACACTGCTGGTGGGACTGCACTAGTTCAACCTCTGTGGAAAGCAATATGGAGATACCTCAAAGCGATACAAGTAAATCTACCATTTGATCTAGCAATTCCACTACTGGGCAACTACCCAAAAGATCAAAAGTCACTTTATGAAAAAGACACCTGCACTCGAATGTTTATAGCAGCACAATTCACAATTGCAAAGCTGTGGAAACAACCCAAGTGCCCATCAATTCATGAGTGGATTAATAAAATGTGGTATATGTATACCATGGAGTACTACTCAGAAACAATGGTGATATAGCACCTCTTGTATATTCCTGGATAGAGCTGGAACCCATTCTACTAAGTGAAGTATCTCAAGAATGGAAAAACAAGCACCACATGTACTCACCAGCAAATTAGTATTAACAGATCAACACCTACATGGACATATAGGAGTAACATTTATCGGGTGTCGGGAGGGTGGGAGGGGATGGGTATATACAACCACAACGAGTAAGATGTGCAATGTTTGGGGGATTGACACGCATGAAGCTCTTACTCAAGGGGGTAGGGAGGCACGGGCAATATATGTAACCTTAACACTTGTACCCCCATAATATGCTAAAATAAATAAATAAATAAAAAAGCTTAAATGAGCCCAATTCACTTAACAAGGCCCATCACCTCTAAGGTACAGCTGTCCCTCCTTAGGCTGGGAGGATGGCTTCCCACCGATTTCCCCACCTATCTTCCCCAGGCCAACTGCCTCCTCTCTATGCTCTGGCTTCAGGTAACCGTGTGTTGCCTCTCTAGCCAGGGATGTGTGCCTCCTTCACAGGATGGACCAAATACCCCCTCCTCAGGGAAGCCTGATAGCCAGCAAAAGCCAAGCTGGCTCTCCATGGTCCTCTATGTGGTACACAACCATCCACTGCAGCCACGACCTCACTGTACTTGTGTGCCTACACAGGCTGCGCTGTCGGTCTGGGAGGGCCTGCAGGCCTGCTGCAGATACCAGTAGATGCTATGGAAACTAGCTGCCAACAGGACTTGGCGCTCGTTACACACACATATCCCCCCCTTGCAAGGGTGAAATGAGACCAAAACTACCATAAAATCTTAAATTGGGACAAGCCATGGAAGAAGCCACTACACTGAACAATTAGCACATCACTCCCTTCCCTCCCCTGATGTCCTGGCTGTTATCAGGGGGTATGTCTGTGTATATGTGGGCAGCAGTGTATGTAAATGTGTGTGTTTGTGGGTGGGGAATGGACGTGCAATGCTGTTCAGTTTGCATCACAGACTAACTATTTTTAAGGTGCACATTTGTTTGTGATGGCTTTATGGAGGGGCTGATGGAGGCTATGGAAGGAACTAAAGCACCTCAGTCTAGGCTGTGGCCATCAGCTGTTTACCTTCATCGTCCCACCTGGAAACACTGCTCACAGTGGTTTCCTAATGCTGTTTATGGAAGCCTCTAAAATGAAAATGCTTAAAAAAAAATTCGCCCTCGAAAAAAATCTTGTTTGAAGTCATGTGTAGGCAGCATGGACAGATCACAGTAGATGATGAATCAATGATGACTATTTTCAGAGCTCTTATATATACTGCACAACATATATAAATAAATTTCTATGTCTCTCACACACGAGCAATCTAATTCCCTCAGAACCCCTATTCACCTTGTTTCACCCAGGCCAAACCTGCAAGGAAACCCAAGGTCAGTGACTACCTGAGCCCCTCATAGGCTGGATCTTTATTACCTCACTTGAGCTGATCCCATGCCAGGTTGACTAATGTTTGGCCACCTACCAATCTGGCCAAGTACACTCTATCTGAGTGCAAAGGATGCCATTTCTACTCAGGCCAGAAAGAGCCAGTGGTGAGATGACTAAGAGGAGAGGCAGGAAGAGAGAGTTGTGTGGGGCAAGAATGCAAGCTAATGGCCACATTCCTGACAATAGAACTGCTGGTGGGTTAGGCCATGGGCAGAATGGCATGACCAGTGAGGAGAGCAGGAGGACAGAGTTTGAAAACAAAAGGGTAAGTGCAGCAGGACTAGTCTAGTTCAGGACAGTAATCAGAAGGAACCAAGTGAACACAAAAGAAACTAGGGCAGGATGGGCTCTCTAACTTGGAGGCTCGAATAGAAGCAGTCAGGGCAGTGGCTGTGTGTGGTGGCTCCAGAACATGTCTCTGGCACAGCTTGGAAGAGTGCCACTGTCACAGGACAAAAAGAAAATGCTCAGGGTGTTCTTTACACACAGTGAAACTTTGCCCTGTTTCTTCCTAGATCAGAACCTCCCTGTGAGCTGGAATCACCTGTGTCCTCAACATAGATCGTAGAGCTGGCACAGAATAGCAGTATGATAAAAAGAAGAATGTCTGGATGGAAGAGGGAAGGATATAAAAAGATATGGAGGAGCCGGGCGTGGTGGCTCACACCTGTAATCCTAGCACTCTGGGAGGCTGAGGCGGGCGGATTGCTCGAGGTCAGGAGTTCAAAACCAGCCTGAGCAAGAGTGAGACCCTGTCTCTACTATAAATAGAAAGAAATTAATTGGCCAACTAATATATATATATATAAAATTAGCTGGGCATGGTGGCGCATGCCTGTAGTCCCAGCTACTCAGGAGGCTGAGGCAGAAGGATTGCTTGAGCCCAGGAGATTGAGGTTGCTGTGAGCTAGGCTGACGCCACGGCACTCACTCTAGCCTGGTCAATAAGCGAGACTCTGTCTCAAAAAAAAAAAAAAAAAAAAAAGACATGGAGGGAAAAGGGGCTAAAAAAGAGGTGGGGGTGGGGACAAAAGAAGAAGAGATTAGAAAAGGAAAAAAAATGAGAAAGGAGAGTAGAAAGGGAATGAGAAAAAGCATGGAGAGAAAAGGAGAAAGAGGCCAGGAACAGTGGCTCACATCTGTAATCCCAGCACTTTGGGAGGCCTAGGTGGGAGGATAGTTTGAGTCCAGGAGTTTGAGACCAGCCTGGGCAATAGTGAGACCCCATTTCAACAAAAAATAGAAAAATTAGCTGGGTGTGGTGGCTTGTGCCTATAGTCCCAGCTACTCAGGAAGCTGAGACAGGAGGATCATTTGAGCCCAGGAGTTGGAGGTTGCAGTGACCTATGATGATACCACTGCATTTCTAGCCTGGGTGACAGAGGGAGATCCTGCCTCAAAAAGAGAAGAAAAAGAAAAGGAGAAAGAGAAAGAGGATAAAAAGAAAAAGACTAACATAGATGAAGAAGCAGAGAATGGGTGGGAGGAAAATGTTGATTGATTTTATAATGACAAGGATTCAAGGATGGGCTTTGGAAAGATTACATGGGATGCAGGCAGAATGTGCACCCTAGGAATGGATGTGAGAGAGGCAACAGGACTGCAGCTGATCGCTGCCCTCAGACCAGATCTCTGACTCAGCTGGAGCAAAACCCAGAGTCTTCTACCCACACGAATGAACACATACCAAGTGAGGGCCAGGTGCAGCGGCTCATGCCTGTAATCTTAGCACTCCTGGAGGCTGAGGTGGGAGGATAGCTTGAGGCTAGGAGTTTGAGACCAGCCTGAGAGAGACCCCATCTCTACTAAAAATAGAAAAATAAACTGGGCGTTGTAGCACAGGCCTGTAGTTCCAGCTACTTCGGAAGCTGAGGCAGGAGGATCACCTGAGCCCAGGAGTTTGAGTTTGCTGTGAACTATGATGACACCACTGTACTCTAGCCGGGGTAACAGAGCAAGATTCTGTCTTAAAAAACAACAACAAAAAAAAAACATACCAAGTGAGTGTCACCAGGTTGTTGTTTATGGGCTCACCAGAAACACCTGGTCTAAACACACTAGAGCATTGTGGTTTCCTCTCACTTAGCTAGACTGCTTCTTAGCAAATGCATAGGACACTGTGGAGTGGGCCCTTTCCCCAGTATACCCCACAATGGGCTTTGCCTCAGATGCCAGCTAGCCAGAGCTTATACTTACATTACCACCTCCAGGGACATGCTTAATATTGTCCTTGGAACCACACTTGGACTGAATATGGCTGTAGCTCACTTTTTTGGAGACTATCTGGACCTGGAGTGTTAGAGAACAGAAAAAACAACACAAAGGGAGAGGAATGGTTAGCACCAACACAGGGCAGGCAGTGAGTCCACACGTGATCACAATGACCAACAAGGAGTGTTGTTAAACCTCCACCCCCACTATGGAAAAGCACAGGAAAAGGAATTTGAAAGAGCAAGGAGGGGAGTGAAAACATTAACAGACCATACACAGACAGAAGCAGATGCTGCACATGCACTGCATGGTGGTCATCACTGCTCCTGGGGGCTGGGCTGTGATTCACAAGGCCAGACAGCAGCAGGCCTGTGATGCCCAACCAGGCATAGCCCCACCTCCTTTCTTTGCTCCCTCCTTAAGAGCTGGGGCAGTGTCCCTGGCTCTGCTCTGCCAGAGTCCTCATCATCTGGACCTGTCCCCACCTAAGGAGGGCACTTCTTTTAATCTAGGGTTGCTAGATTGCTGGAGCCAGGCCCACTCTTGGAAGCAAAGGCTGTTCTGAGAAGCACTGGGCATCTGGCTAATAGGGCACAGATCTGATACTAAAATGAAGGGAGGGAAATTGCTCAGATACAGATGCAAATAGAAACAGAATCATGAACACCTGGGGAGCATAGGTCTCAGGTTCAGCAACTTCTACATTTAGCCCATTTGCCTCAGGGCTCAAGAAAGCACAATGTGACAGAAGAGGTTTAACTCTACCCTTATTTTTGATTCTTGATTCTAGGGTAAAGCACCTTCTTGAATCCTCCAGATGCCTAATCCTAAGCCCTGTGAGATTTGCATAAAAAGAGAACAGGCTGTAAGCTGGGATGCTGTCATGCGCAAGTCTGGGAGCACAATTACACTGTATTGTATGAGAATGGCTTCCATCCAAATTGAGAAACACAAGGGCCCTGGCTCTAAGAGTCTGGAACAAAGAATTCTTCTTGGACATTCTCAAGAAGGGATAGTTGCCAGCTTCGTTCCTTCCTTTGCTTCAGAGCTGAGGGCTCTTTGTAAATGAGGCAGCCTCCACACTGAAGAGTTCTCCACAGGGTACAGAAATCCACCTGGAGAAACTTGAACCCATATAGTTTGTTGTACCTTGTCATTTCTGGCCTTCTTCACAACTTTAATGACGAGTAATTGGTTAACAAACCACTTCCTGAGAAGTCCTGGTCTGAACCAGAGACTCACTAGGACCTCTCTAGTAGTCGCCAGAAGCCACAGCACAGCCTTCTTCACCAACTCCACTGTACCTACTCCTTGATACTGAGACTTGCTGAGACTGCCCATCCTGGTCCCTAAGGAGTTGGAGCTCAGGCTTCTATGGCAGCCCTTGGCCAGAGAGGCACACCTACTTGCCACAGCTAAGGAAGAAAGGTGTTCAAAAGCAGGCCAGGGAGGCCTGGTTCCAGAGTATGGAGGCAAGGGGAAAGAACCTTTCAGCTTAGCTCTAACTTCCAGCTGATCCTGTCTGTTCTACACTAAGTAGATTTCTATTGGGGACAAGCATCCTACCTACCTTTCAGTTAAACCAGGACAAATCGAAGCTATCTCCTTATCCAGCAGTGTTTATGAGTGGAGTATTTTAGCTCAAGTAAACGCATATAGTCTCCAGGGTTCCAGGTGGCGGAAGATTATCACCGCCATATCTTCTTACTGAGGAAGAACCTGGGTATGCCGTTTGTGTGGATACCAGGTGGGTTTCACATCAATGACAGTGTGAAGGAAATGACTGAAAGTTTTTGGATCCATTTATCCAGCTGAATAAGTATTTCCCAAAGGGCTAATGGACTCCTAATTCTGTTAACTTTCAGGGTTAATACAAAAATTTTCTGATGGCTGAGTCACCAAGCACAGAGAAGGGAACATGGAGGAGAAGTAGAAACTAGTTAAGGACAGGAAAAAGTGTAATAGGAGGGAAAGTGACTCAGGCTGGAAGAAATACTCTACCAGATTTAACCTTCCAGAGGTAGGTCTAAATAAAACTCACTTTCCCAGCAGTTGGTTTCTGTGCACTTGCAATTGGGCCGGCTGTTTTAGTGACTGCATTAGATTCAGGCTTTCGAGTTGGAGCAGCTGCCTCTGTTTTCTCTATTTTGGCCTGGATGGAGATAAAGGGAGTACAAATTTGAAACCAAGAGGATGAGAGCTCCAATGCCAAGAAGAGAAGAAGGCTGTAGGGGATTCGAGTCCAGGCCAGGCCACCAGGCGGAAGCAGGTCACCCTTAATCCCAGGAAAAAAAACCACAGATTTCCTAGGGTAGACCAAGCCAGAGATCCCTGAGTAGAGGACCACAGGGAAAGGAGCTGCAGACCAAAGTCTTGAGACACAAGGGAAGAGACCAACGCACCATTTATGGAAAAATGGAGCTCACGAAGGCTAAAAGACCAAATCAGTGATCTCGTTTGAGTATATGTTGGGGTTATCACTTTCCAATCACAGTGCCCACCCCACTCAGAAACACGATGGCCATAGGGAGCCACTACTGATGATGGGAAATGTCATATTCTTCAGGTATGTAGGAAGAGAAAGCAATTCACTAGACAAGTTACTCACCCCCCCACAAGACCTTCTGCAACTTCTGCACCACGAAAGAATAAGAGCAAAGAGAGGGGGAGATGGACCACCAGCACCACAGGCGAGGGCCTGGTGGCTGGGTAAACTAGAGCCACAACTGCTTACCAGTGAGGCCCTTAACCAGACTGATCCCAATTTGCCACCAGTGTCTTCCAATCGTACCAGGATTCTGCCTCATTTTCTCCCTCCTCAATTTTTTAGCTGTTCTGGATTGAAGCAATTTAAGTATTCTCCCCTGGATGGTGGTGGTTTAGTGCTAGCAAATGATGTAGGTGATTGAGATGGTACTATTCCAGGGACTCGAACATTCTCAGATAGACTTTTGCCATGTTTTTTTTTTTTTTCCACACACTGAGCCCCCATGGTTGCTAACAGTTAACAAATAATTCTGGGATTGATGCAACCAGAAAATCCTTATAGTGAAGCGCTGTCCTGCCACGCTTTTCTCCTCCCTACTAGTGTAGTCCTATTGTTTAGGAAAGCCAGAGGATTATAGCACAACCCATCCTGGCCACAAGAGGACACCCTATCCTCTTTCAGACAGACTCCACCCAAGTTATGGGTTGTGGAACTTAAGAGGTGATCCACCTTCTGTCTATCCTGACATTCACTGTGCAAGGCAAGAACCATGAAAAATTGGGTTTATGTCAAGTATCTCTCACTCTCACAGAGTCTCTGAGGCCTCTTTTCTTTTGTAAAGGAGAAGAATCCTTTTATCTCCAAACAAAAATGTAAACCCAAACCCCAACATATATAACAGAAGCCCCTCTGACTGAGGTGGGAAGAACCAGCCCAGGGTTCAGCCACTCTTTAACTGCTGCTGGGGTGCTAAGCCTACTCTATAGAGCACAGGCCAAAGTTCCCTGATGCTGAATACAATGTTTTAACAGCCCGCTCTTTGGTGGGCCTGGGAGATGCGGTGGGGGAAGACGCAGGGGCCAGCATAGCAAGGACCCCAGGTTCCTTGGACCTACCCGGCCTCCTCCAGGCTGATGCTTTATGTTTTCTGTGGAGCCAACCTTGGAGCGGACATTCTTCAGATCAGGAGCAGAAGCATTGGTGGCTAGGCGGCTCAGCCTGGGGGCAGTGGAGCTGGGCTTGGCTGAGGTGGGCTTCTTGTCCATGGAAGCAGTCACGGAGGGCCGGGAAGGCATGGGTGTAGGCTTGACACGAGCAGGAGCCACCCCTGTTGGGGGAGCTGTCCCACTGACAGTGGTGTTTTTCTTCACGGAACTGCTGGAGGTGCTCTTTGAGCGACTCAAGTCAGCTGCAGAGGTAGGAGTGAGAGATAACAACGGTTCCGCAGGAGAGAGAAAAAAGGAGACTTTAAGCTATCGAAGAGGCAGAGGTTCAAGTTACAGTTCCACAAAATGGTGGATGGAGTATTACCTGGTGCAGACTTTGCAGTCATCTTCTTAACTTCCACAGGTTTTCCCTCAGTCTTAATGGCTGCACAAACATATACTTATTAATATAACACTTAACAAACTGACCTATTAAATGGCATATCCAATACTGAGATTCCTCATTATTTAACAATTATTGAATGTCTACTTTGAGCCAGGGATTGTGCTAGTCTTTGGGAATAGAGTAGTAAATTAGAGAGCTATGTAAAGACTGTGCCCAAGCATACAAGGCCCGACACTGCATCTTATTCCTCAAGCGATCCTCCCATCTCAGCCTCCTAAAGTGCTAGGATTACATGAATGAGCCACCGTGCCCAGCTGGTGTCTTATTCTTCTCTAGAGTCCTGACAATGCTTTCTACGTGGCCTTGGAAGTAGGTTGCCAATACATGCCTATTTCTTATCATGTAAGCCCATGACCATGTGCTGGGTGCTGTGGAGTCACTAAGAAAGGAACAGTGAATTCTACCCAGGATTTCATGAGAGTCCTCGTCATTCAAGATTTTTCTGAACACACACAACTGCTAAGCTCACACAGAGATCAAGGCTTGTTAAGTATTAGGCCCACCACGCTGCCACTATTTCATGTACCCCACCTAAGGGCTAGTATATGAGCAGGTCTGCACAGCTGTCTATGATGCCAGCTAGAGCTATGGCTAGGGCAAAGCCAAGGTTCCATTCTCCTCCCTACTAGTTTCATGGGAGGGAAGAACAGGCACTACTCACCAGTGGGCCTCTTGGGCAGGGATGTAGGGGGGCTCTTACTGCTTGGCCCAGCTGAGGGAAGAGCAGCAGCTGTTGTGGCTTTCGGAACAGTCTGGGTGCTCTTGGAACCAGGTCTGACGGCTGGGGCAGAAGCCGGCTTGGATGGTGAGGCCCGCTTCTCAGGAACCTTTGCTTCTGTGACAGGCTGGAAGTAGAAAATTGGGAGTAAGAGCTTCAGGTCAGCTATAGCCCAGCTATAGCCCAAGTCACAAGATGGTTCTATATAAGCATGCAGCAGAGAGCAGGAGGTACTGTGGGTTGGCAGCTACTGATGGGAAAATATATATGGCTCTAAGATATCCATATAAAGTGAGGAACTGGCCATTTAGGGGTGCTACGTGATCTGAGATCAGGAAATAGGGACTCAAACGACCTCGATCCAACCTGAGCCAATAAAAACAGCCCTGACAGGTATATCACAACAGTCTATGTTTGCCTCAGGATCTACAATATTAAATAATAGTATCTTTAATATAATAAAATCTAATGTATTAAATACTTGACGAAAGATTAAATAAACATATAAACAAAACAAAACCGAAACATTATATTCAGTCAAATTCAGCCATTGTTTTGGTTAACATGTACCTAGAGAGTGCTGAACAGGACCGGGCTGCAGATGGAGAAGCCACTGGCCAAATCCAGGTCAGAAGCTTGAGCTCCAGCCCTAATCCGTCCCCTACTCGCAGTGTGTTCTTGGACAAATCACAGAGCCTCTTTGAGCTTTAGTTCCTCATCTGGATAAAGGCGATTATAATAGAACGTCACTAAAGACCAGCTTTAATAATATGTGAAGTTAAAGAATAGAGGAAAGAGGTCTCTGATAGCACAGAGATGGTAAGAAGGGGCAGCCCTGACCAATAGTGGGAATGAGAAGCACTGATATCACAGCTATGATCTGAGAGCGAAAGGGAAAAAGTCTCTCAAGTGTAGATGGCATGGCATCTGGGTTACTCTGGTTTCTCTTAATGGAGGCTGAGAACGCCATCGATAGCGAGGAAGGAAGGAATCAATTTAGCCTGGTTTCTACAGGAATAGAGAATGAAGATATTATTTCGATAAGGAAATGTACCACGTTACTCATGAGAGTAAGCTAAACCAGACACAGCGGGCCCAGCTCTTTTCCTCTATGAAAAACAGCCACAGAGGGCAATATGTTCATAGAGACAAGCAGGATGTTTAAATGGAAAATCAACTAAGGAGATGCTTGGAAATTAAGGGTTGGAATCCAATCAAATAAAGTCTAACTCTGTAAATGCATGGTAATGACTGCTTCTACAAATAGAGACCCCTAAGGTTGGAATCAGGGGAAATGGTCCTGATACTAGCTCTGTCGGGAAATGTTGTAGGATTTTATACAAGAGGGGGTTCCTCTCTTATGGCTCTAGAATTTGAGGACTAAACCAGATGCTCTCTGTGGTCTCCTGTAAAATGTCAATACTATGATTATGATTCAGAACAATCTAGGATAGTCATACTATTTTGCTAATAAGATTAATAAGGATAAAATAAGTTAGCCATCCTTCAAATGGATCTTGGCCTCAGCAAACTACAGAACCAGCCTGGCCTTATAACTAAAGTTATTTTTTGTTTGTTTGTTTTTTGGTTTTTTTTTTTTGAGACAGTCTCACTTTGTTGCCCAGGCTAGAGTGAGTGCCATGGCATCAGCCTAGCTCACAGCAACCTCAAACTCCCCAGCTTCAGCAATCCTGCTGCCTCAGACTCCCGAGTAGCTGGGACTACAGGCATGTGCCACCATGCCCGGCTGATTTTTTCTATATATATTAGTTGGCCAATTAATTTCTTTGTATTTACAGTAGAGATGGGGTCTCGCTCTTGCTCAGGCTGGTTTCAAACTCCTGACCTCCAGCAATCCTCCCGCCTCGGCCTCCCAGAGTGCTAGGATTACAGGCGTGAGCCACCGCGCCCAGCCCGTTATTTCTCAATTTATATTTTCTCCTCTGCCAGAGTCACAGATCTACTTATTTTTTTTTCTGAATAGGTTGTTCTCCCTTTATTTGCTCCTATAAATCTTTCTACCAAAATAAGGATAAAAATAATCTTGTTAGACTTTAGTTTTTAATCTCACAAACTGTTTCCATCTGTTTCTTATCTAAAAGAGACAACATTAATAATTATAATGCAGAGATCACCAACTTAGGTCAGCTATTATCTCAAAATGCTGTCTAAAAGTTGCATGGGAGGCCGGGTGCGGTGGCTCATGCCTGTAATCCTAGCACTCTGGGAGGCCAAGGCGGGCGGATTGCTTAAGGTCAGGAGTTCGAAACCAGCCTGAGCAAGAGCGAGACCCCGTCTCTACTATAAATAGAAAGAAATTAATTGGCCAATTAATATATATAGAAAAAATTAGCTGGGCATGGTGGCGCATGCCTGTAGTCCCAGCTACTCGGAAGGCTGAGGCAGGAAGATTGCTTGAGCCCAGGAGTTTGAGGTTGCTGTGAGCTAGGCTGACGCTGCCATGGCACTTACTCTAGCCTGGGCAACAAAGTGAGAATCTTTCTCAAAAAAATAAATAAATAAATAAAAGTTGCATAAAATGCCATAAAAGAACAGCACTGACAGAGGCCCTGAGCATCAGCCTGGGAGTCAGACCCAGGCTCAAATACTGGCTCTGTCACTTAGTACCACTTGACTTTAGAAAGATTATTTAACTGAGTTTTAGCTTCTTATCTACAAAATGAAGATACCGAGAAAGAGAATTAAAGGAATTAATGTATATTAAGTAATTAGGACAGTATACTTTATTTTAATTGTTATTATGGAGTGAAATTTCAGTAGACACCTCCTTTCCTCTCTACACCTTCCTGTCTCAGCTGCTGCTGAATAAACTACAGGGAGGACCTGCAGCCATGGCTCCAGTCACCGTCTCTCTGCCCTCTTATTCAAATAAGTTGGTTTTTTTTGTTGTTGTTTTGCAGCAACTGCAGCCTGAGAATCAAATAAGTTGTTTTCTAAAGATCAAGAAAAGCAGCCAACTGGATAAATGAGGATCAGAGAGAAAGCATTACAAGATTTTATCATTACAAGTCTATGATAGGATTTCTCAGTTTCTTGGCCAGAGTTTCAACCTAGACTGCAATTCTTAGGTTCTAACAGTTTTCTTTACAATATTAATTTTTTGTTTGTTTTTTTATTAAATTTTTTATCTTTTTTATCTATTGCACACAGACTGGAACACAATATTAAATTAAAAACTGACAATTTTGACATTGGAAACTATTTCCCACTGTGAATTTGAAGAGTACAATCAGGCTGACCTAAAAGCCATTCTCAAATAAAAAAGATGTTAAGGAAGGCAGCCACACCTTCACACACTCTCTCTTTCTGGATCAAATCTGTAAAGCTAATGCTGCTCCAAATGTGACCAGTTTCTGGGCAATACAGACAGTGAGGATGACCTGGAAAACTGGAAAACTTCAGGAGTAGCTCAGTGGAGGTAAGCAAAGTAAGATATCACATGATGCTAGAACATGTAAGATAAGCTGGAAAAGCTACTTATTTCGCAAAAGTAACGGGTAAAATTCACTTCTGCAGGATGATTAAAGAAAAAGACAAATAACTGCATTTGATGTGACAAAAAAGAATATTTGATTAGTATATAGAATAGAGAAAATGGGTTAACAAGTATTTAAATAGGTAAAGAGTCCGGAGTAGTTGAAAGAAAGGAAGAGGAATCAAAGTTGATGGAATATTGCCTCCAACCAGCGCAGGGAAAGGTAAATACTATAAAAGGGCTTCAAAATGTTATGGCTACATCACTGGGTCCCTAATCTGATTTTCAAATCTCCCTTCCCCACGTTTTCCCTGCCTTTTCCCAATTCCACCAGCCTGATTCCAATGTCTGGTTGCAACAAGAGCCTATCTGACATTCAGAGGGGAAAACTTTTCCCCGGCACAGTAGTTAGGTGACTACTTACCTTTGGTTTTACATCTCGTGAAGGTAAGGTGGAAGGCCGGGCAGTGGTAGCAGCAGGGCGTTTGGGTGGGGCAGCTGGTACTGAGCCTGATGCAAGGCTCATGGGTTTTTTATTCGACCCACCAAGGGTGGTGGGAGCTGGCTGCTTAGGGAGAGAAGTGGGCTGTGTTTTGGCTTTCGATGTTGAAGTCTTTGCAGGCTGAGAAGTGGCCAAAGGCTTTAGGTTGATTGTTGTTTTTTTATTTTATTTTTTTTATTTTTTAAGGCCAACATCAAACACACAGACAAGAATAAAAACAAATTAAAAAAAGTATAAATTGCACAATTCAAAGTAAAATTATAAGCAATGATGATTGATGCAACTGAAAATCAGCATTCCTTTCTTCTGAGCTCAGTAAATAGAATGATAACAGGATGGAGATAAAAAAAGAATTGGGAATTGTTTCTTAATGACAGTGTCACAAATTCTAAGAGTCTGGCACTTAAAAATTTAAATCCAGTAAAATAATTAACTATTAATTAGAATTAATAGTTAATTCAATTAATAAAGAAGTCTATTAATGTAGAATTGTTGGGTGCAATAATTCTATAAAGAAAATTATCAGGAGGTGATTAAGCCATTATTATCTGTATATTGATGGCATAACATCAGACATATCCTACAGTGTGGCATTCAAATTTTGCAATAAGCATCAGTAAGTATCCGAAGCTGTGATTCACCTTAAAAATCTGCATTCCCTTTTTATATACATACACACACAAATACATATTAAATATATATAATTTTATGAGACAGAGTCTCGCTTTGTTGCCCAGGCTAGAGTGAGTGCCGTGGCGTCAGCATAGCTCACAGCAACCTCAAACTCCTAGGCTTAAGCGATCCTTCTGACTCAGCCTCCCGAGTAGCTGGGACTACAGGCACGCGCCACCATGCTCGACTAATTTTTTCTATATATATTAGTTGGCCAATTAATTTCTTTCTATTTATAGTAGAGCCGGGGTCTCGCTCTTGCTCAGGCTGGTTTCGAACTCCTGACCTCCAGCAATCCGCCCGCCTCGGCCTCCCAGAGTGCTAGGATTACAGGCGTGAGCCACGCGCCCGGCCTATTTTTATTTATTTTTGAGACAGAGTCTCACTCTGTTGCCTGGGCTAGAGTGCTGTGGCATTAGTCTAGTTCACAGCAACCTCAAACTCCTGGGCTTAAGCAATCCTCCTGCCTCAGTCTCCCAAGTAGCTGGAACTACAGGAATGCGCCATGTCCGCCTAATTTTTTCTATATTTTTAGTTGTCCAGGTAATTTCTTTCTATTTATAGTAGAAACGGGGTCTCACTTTTGCTTAGGCTGGTCTCAAACTCCTGAGTTCAAACAATCCTCCTGCCTCCTAGAGTGCTAGGATTATAGGAGTGAGACATTGCACTCGGCCTATATTCCCTTTTTATGAATGGAGATTTCACAATCTCTTTCAGAATACTTCTGAAATTATTCTTTTGGTTGTTGTTAAGGGAGGCAGAAACTTCTGTAGGACATTTTTACAGACATATAGCAGGGTCAAGGACAGCAATTTTAAAGTTTGGTTTTAGGCCACTCTGGTAAAATGGGAACATAAAATATTTTCTAAACACATCCAAATGTGAGGAAGGACTCACAATAGCTCAGAAAAAAGAATTTTGTTCACAATTCAAGCAATAATAGCAGAAGATACTATATTTAAAAATTATATGAGTAGAAGATAATCACCATTCTGGCACCTACCTTTGTTTTCTTCTCTGGGCTTGGTGGGAGCTCCTTGTTTGGTGGGGTGGTGATGTCATTTCCGGTCACACTCACAGCAGGCCGTCCTTCTTCAGCCCTGGCTATTCCTAAGGGGAAGGAGGTGGGAATTATAATAAGCAAATGCTTTTCACACTCATATTGAAAATGGAAGGCTTAGCAAAGACAAACCACTAACTAGCATTACATTCTGGAAAAATACCCACAAGGCTGTGCTGCTGAAATGTGGACAACTCTCCCAAGTTCTCATTGTGAGGATAGTTTTTAGATTCTACAGATTCAGGGATCTTGTCCCTGTGGAGAACCAATCTACGTGGGATTAGCACAAATGATCAGTGGAAAGAAATGGCCCTCAAAGTTTGGTTTCCCTTCCCTGGAGACCAGCAAAGGGGTTCTGTCTCCCAGCCACTAGCTCCTGGAGCACATGGGACAAAAACCTCTTCTACCAGAGTCTATCTCTTGGGATAAAGGTTGCGGAGAGATGGGGTAAGAGCCAGATGATCATTCAATGTCCTCCCTTTCCCTCCTTTTCCTGTATAGAGGACGTGAGATTAACTTGATCTAGTTCTAGCAGTGACCCAGATTTCCAACAAGGCCAAGGAGACCCGTGGAACCAGACCCATGGCCAGAAATAAAGTCTACTGCCTAAAGTAGTATAGCCTCCTCTCTGTAGAGAGGTTACTCCAGATTTCAAAGGACTACACTTGAAAGCATTAAAAACCATGAAATTTATAACCTTGGTGAGGGGAAGGCCTTCCTGACTAGCACGAATCTACCAACTGCACAAGATAAGTTTGGCTAAAGAAAAAAAAAAAACTATAAAAGTCAAAAGGCAAATGACAAACAGAATATTTGAACCTCATGTCAAAGACAAAGAGTTTATTCCCACAAATTAATAATTCCTAAAAAAGCCAACAGTCCACTAGAAAAATGGCCAAAAGTATATGAGCAGTTTATAGAAAAAGAAATAAAAATGTCTTTTAAAAATGTGAAAAAGTGGGGGGAGGGTAGGCAAGGGCATTATTCAAAACCTTAAAATGTCTAATCTTAAGTAAAATAGAAAGTAAAAATTAAAACCACACCAAAATGCCATCTTAAAACTAACATATTTTCAAAAGTTCTAAAATTTGAGAATAACTGTTGGGGACAATATGGGGACATATACTCGGTAGGTGTGCGAACTGGTACAACCAATAGGCAGGGCAGCCTGGTAGTATCTCTGAAAATCACAGGTGCTAATAAAATATAGTCCAGAAATACAATTCTAGAAATTTATCTTAAAGGTATATTTGCACACCAGCAAAACTGGTTAAAATAATAATGCAGAAGTATCAATGTAATCTCTAAATCTGAAAAAATAAGCATGAAGAAACTTTTATGACTGATATGGAATGATCTATATTCAGTGAGGGAAAGAAAAGCAAACCATATATATATAACATGAAACTATTTGTCTAGAAAATGGATGGGGGAAATATACTATTGCAAATACACTTATATATGCATTTTTTTTTTTTTTTGAGACAGAGTTTAGCTTTGTTGCCCAGGCTAGAGTGCTGTGGCATCAGCTTAGCTCACAGCAACCTCAAACTCCTGGGCTTAAGCAATCTTTCTGCCTCAGCTTTCCAAGTGACTGGGACTACAGGCATGTGCCACCACGCCCAGCTAAATTTCTTTGTATTTTTAGTAGAGACGAGGTCTTGCTCTTGCTCAGGCTGGTGTCTTACTCCAGAGCTCAAACAATCCACCCGCCTCAGCCTCCCAGAGTGCTAGGATTACAGGCATGAGCCACCACACCTGGCCTGTATACACATTTTTAAAGAACCTTTGGAAGGATCATAATTAATGATTTAACATAACAGTATTTGTGGAGGGGGAAGGATGAAATACAATCTAGGATGTTAGGAGGCTTAAAAACTTTTTGAGAAATAATTAAACAGATTCACAAGAAGTTCCAAAGAAATATATAGTGAAGGTCCCTGGTACCCTTTCACCCAGCCTCTCCCAATGTTGACATCTTACATAAGTATAGTATACTATCAAAACCAGGAAACTGAGACAATCTACAGAACTTACTCAGATTTTTCCAGTTTTACATGTATTAATACTTGTGTGTGTAGTTCTATACAATTTTATCTCATGTGTAGCTTTGTGTAACTACCCCCAGCAATCAACACACACTACTATCCCATTACCACAGGGCTCCTTCATGTTACCCCTTTATAGCCACATCTACCCCCCCCTTTTCTAATCTCTAAATCTTTAGCAACTACTAATAGGTTCTCCATCTCTATAATAACTTCCAGTACTATGTTCTGTAAGTGTGATATGACCAGACATCCTTGCCTGTTTCCAATCTTAGGGGGAAAGTACTCAGTCTCTCGCTGTTAGGTATGATTTTAGCTGTAGGCTTTCTATAAATGCTCTTCATCAAGTTGAGTAGATTCTCCTCTATTCCTAGTTTGCTGAGAATTTTATATTGAATGGTGTTGGATTTTGTTTGATGATTTTCTGCTTATGATTTTTCTTCTTCAGACTTTGATGTGGTGGATTACTGTTATTCATTTTATTTTGATTAATGAACAGCCTTGCATATCTGAAATAAATCCCACTTGGTCACTGTGCATAATTCATTATATTACTAGATGATACTTGCTAATTTTTTTTTTAGAAATTCTTGCATCTAAGTTTATGAGAGATATTAGTCTAAAGTTTTGTATTTTTAATTTTTTTTTGGCACTGTCTTTGTCTGGTTTTGGCATAATGATAATACTGACCTCATAAAATTGAGTTAGAAAGTATTCCCTCCTCTTCCATTTTCTGGAAAGGAGTGTGTGAAATTCAAATGTATGATAAAATTTTCCAATGAAACCATCTGGGCGGCTGGGCACGGTGGCTCACGCTTCTAATCCTAGCACTCTGAGAGGCCAAGGCAGGTGGATCACTCAAGGTCAAGAGTTTGAAACCAGCCTGAGCAAAAGTGAGGCCCCATCTCTACTAAAACTAGAAAGAAATTAATTGGCCAACTAAAAATATATAGAAAAAATTAGCCAGGCATGGTGGCGCATGCCTATAGTCCCAGCTACTCAGGAGGCTGAGTCAGGAGGATCACTTGAGCCCAGGAGTTTGAGGTTGCTGTGAGCCAGGCTGACACCACGACACTCTAGCCTGGGCAACAGAGTGAGACTCTGTCTCAAAAACAAAACAAAACAAAACAAAAAAACCCATTTGGGCTGAGGATTTTGTTTTCAGGAACTTTTAAAGTATAAATTCAATTTCTTTCTTTTTTTTTTTTGAGACATAGTCTCTCTTTGTTGCCCAGGCTAGAGTGAGTGCCGTGGTGTCAGCCTAGCTCACAGCAACCTCAAACTCCTGGGCTCAAGCAATCCTCCTGCCTCAGCCTCCAGAGTAACTGGGACTACAGGCATGCGCCACCACACCCGGCTAATTTTTTCTATATATATTAATTGTCCAATTAATTTCTTTCTATTTATAGTAGAGACAGGGTCTCGCTCTTGCTCAGGCTGGTTTCAAACTCCTGAACTCGAGCAATCTGCCCGCCTCGGCCTCCCAGAGTGCTAGGATTACAGGCGTGAGCCACCACGCCTGGCCCCAGCTAGCATTTTAATTTAATATTTTAATGACCCTCTTGCCTTAGCAACCTGAGTAGCTAGGACTACAGGCCACCACATCTGGCTAATTTTTCTTATTTTTTATAGAAACAGGGTCTTACTATATTGTCCAGACTGGTCTCCAACTTTTGGCTCAAGCAATCCTCCCATCTCAGTCTTCCAAAATGCTGGGATTACAGGCATGAGCCACTGTGCCTAGCTCCCTTTTAATTTTTTAAATAATGTTTTTGAATATATTACTTTGTATAGTTTTCTTAGTGGTTGCTTTAGGTATTACAATATACATACAGCCTATTGGTATTAAAGTTTTATCACTGTGAGTGAACTACTAAAATCTGACTTCCATTTCACTTTTAAAATATAATGTCTTAAATATTTTCTCTTCATATATTGAGTACTATATCATCAAATATGATTTTAAAGCTTATAAGGAGGATAGACTATTATATTTACCTATTCTATTGTTGTTTTCATTTTTGAAATTCCAAGCCTCCTCCTATTATCAAATCTTATCTTTTTGGAGAACTTCCTTTAGCCATTCTCTAAGGTTATATCTACTAGCAACAAATTCTCCTAGTTTCCTTTATCTAAGAATGTCTTTATTTCCCTTTCATTCCTGATGGAATGTTTTACCAAAGAATTTGCAGTTGACAATTCTTTTCTTTTAGCTCTTGAAAAATGCTGTGCCCTTCTTTTTGCCCTCCATACTTACTGATAAGAAAATTGCTGTTTCCCCATGGGTAATGCATCACTTCTCTTTGGTTGTTTTTAAAACTTTTGTCTTTGTCTTTAGTTTACAAGTCTAATTAGCAGAAGTCTTGGCATGAATTTCTTTGCATCTATGCTATTTGGGATTTGTTCAGTTTCTTGCATCTATACGTTTATGTCTTGTCATATTTGGGAAGTTTCCAGTCATTATTTTTTTTAACAGTTGTTCACCCTTGCATTGTTTCTCCTCTCTGGGATTCTGATGATACAAATAAATGTTAGATCTTTTGTTATTGTCCCACAGGTCTCTGAAGATCTTTTACCCCCCAGTCTATTTTCTCTGTTGTTCAGACAGAATAAATCCTATTGATCTTTCTTCAAGGTCACTGATTATCTTCTGTCATCTCCAGTTTGCTATTGAGCCCATCTAACAAGTTTTAAATTTTAATTATTACATTTTCCATATCTATAATAATTTTTTTTTTTTTGAGACAGAGTCTTGCTCTGTTGCCAGGGCTAGAGTGCCGTGGCGTCATACTAGCTGACAGCCATCCCCTGCCTCAGCCTCCCGAGGAGCTGGGGCTACAGGCATGTGCCACCACGCCCAGCTAATTTTTTCTTTTTTCTCTTTTTTGTTTGAGACAGAGTCTCACTTTGTTGTCCAGGCTAGAGTGCCGTGGCGTCAGCCTAGCTCACAGCAACCTCAAACTCCTGGGCTCAAGCAATCTTTCTCCCTCAGCCTTCCATGT